GACGAGCGGGTGGAAGGGCCTCACAAAACGCGGGCCCGGTGGTGGTGGTGGTGGTGGTGGTGGTGGTGGTGCGTTGAGGATGCTGATGGTTTAAGAGGGTCTGTGCTGCGTGGGCCGGGCAGGTTTGGGGACGGGGTAGAGGAAATGCTGAGGCAGGCGCAAGCAGGCTCCTAGCGAAGGCAGGCTCTCTCAGCAAAGACCATGGGTTTTTCCTCACTGAATGATCGCTCTGTGTTTACTGTGCGGTGCTCAGCTACGCTTGAAGTGTTGCCTTGCGCGTGTAACAGTGAATTAGGGCCTCGGCGGGGTGGAAGGAGGGTGGGCTCAGATGAGGAAGGGGTGTGTGGGGGGGGTCCATCAGGTTATATCCCTGTGCGACAGTTCAATGTCATACTTGTTAAAAAAAACAGACCAAAAAAAAAAGAAAAGAAAAAAAAAGCGTAACTCACTTAGTGGGCCATGTCACACCTGTTTTCTCCTCTGTCCCCATCCTCTCTGTAGGTGCAACGTACCCCCTCGTGTGGCGCAGTGCCCAGGGAACCCCGGACGCCTGGCAGTTTTCGGATGGAAGTTCAAGAGCACTTAAATTCTGAGCGAACGTGAAGCTGGGGGCGACGGCGGTCGTGGTCGTGGCATCCCAAGGTGGCCTGTTTTCCTGCTAGCTCGACGCGCTTTCTGACACTAGCTTGAGAAGTCACCATCTGAAGGCAGCATTCTCCAGGCTCCTTCCGCCTGCAAGACTATCGTATTTATATTTTGTAATAGAGTACAACACTTCTTCGGGGTTTTTTTTTTTTTGGTTTCTTTTTTTTAAAAAAAAAAAGCAAAAGCACCCACCCACTGTCAAGGGCTTCTCAATAGCTTTGACCGGCTCCTTTCCCTTTGGAAAAGACTGTCGTGCTCACGTGTTGATAATGTGTGGAGAACCCAGCCTGTTGTCTATCTCCATTACATGCCGTTTCGTAGAAGGTGCATCTAATGTTATAAATTAAAAATAAAACAAAACACAGTGTAGGTCTGTGGTGGGTGGGAAATTGACATAATAAATGTTGGAGCTTTAGGTTTTGTTTGCTCTTTCTTTAATTTTTAATGCTAACAAGGGCCAGGCAGCTGGTATGACTTTGTATTACCATATCATCTGCAGAAAATGAAGTACCGAGTTTAAAAAGAAAAAGCCGGAGCTCATATCCACGTGAGGGGCTGCACATCTGCAGACATTTCCTAGAGAGCTAGACCAGGCGTCGGGGTTATTTATGGCTGTGGTACCCAAGCAGTGTAGGACTAGTGTTGGTGTTCGTTCATGCTGACGGGGGGGTCTCCTAACTCTCCATCGGCACCTGCATACTATTGACTAATGCCGACTGTTGTATTACGTTTCTGCTGTTCAAATATGTACTTTTGGGGTTGGTGGGATCTATAACTTTCTTTAATTTGTCATTGTTTGCTGAAACAAGACCACAGCCAACCAGCAGCTTTCAGGAGGGACGATGGTTTTGCTGTAGAGATGTTGTCAGTGCGAGGAGGAGCGACCCCTTCCCCCAGCCCGTGGCAGGAGCAGAGTTGGTCTCTGGGTTGTGAAACACATGTTTACATCCCATGGTCTTTCACAGAGCACTTAAGCACTTGCATAGCTTTTATGCTTGCCAATGAGACTTGTCCCTTGCTTAGAGCTAAGCACA